AAGGGAGAGGTCGCCGTCAAGGGCAAGCCTGCAGCTGCGCCACAGCGGACAACCACCTCGGGACGGGTGAAACCGAAAGCCCCAAAGCCCGTTTCACACCGATGCGTCACTGCTCTTCCACGTCAGTTTACCGAAATCACTTCCACTTAATTAGGCTTATTTGCTGCCTTTTTTGCAAAGCCTCGGACGAACAGAGGAAAAAACCTGGGTGGCAGCTATTGCTGCGCGTTCTGTGCTTTTGTTCTCTCGACAAGAAGCTGCTGCTAATGTTTTCCTGCTAACCAGCAGCTGGAGGCTGTCCAGGCAGTGGCTAATTGAGTGCCTGGAGCTGAGAGTGCTGAAACAGAAGGCTGCAGTGCAAGGAAGTGGACTGGAGGCTGCATGTGAGGTGCTAGGACCTCCATGTGCCCTACACAACACATCGCCTCACAGCAGTGTGCAGCCCTGGAAAGGGACATGCAAGCTCTGCGCCCCGTTTTTGAAAGCTGTCGCCTGATAGGAGCAAGCAGGATAATTTTCAGAAAACTCCAGGCGGATAGGCGATAGGTGATGGCAAACGGGCCGTGACCGAAACAGAAATAACATGCCTTCTCTTATATCTAGACAAAAGAGTGTTTTTGTTTTCCCTAAAGCAAACATTGAGCTCAAGCAGGGCTTTTGTGAGGCAGGTGGGCTGTCACCCAGATCAAACCATTCTGTGCCCCTTGTAAGTAACAAAGCACCGAGTCGTCTGTTCAACTGTACGCCATGGACTTGACAAAGAAGAGAAATTTGCAATCCTTTGGCTGCACAAACACTTTCAGCTCAACACTCTCAAGCTCTAAAAGACACCACATGTATTCAGAATGTGCTTGTGAACAGAAAGTGAGAGATGGGCTAGCTCAGTGCTGAGTTACCGTCATGCAGTGTTTTCCTATGCCTCCTACAGAATCATGCAGTGATGGCAGCTTTTATGACAGAACTCACAAGAACACGAATTGCTTAAAAACGTTCCGCTCCAGATTTGCTGCCGATTTCGATTTCTAATACGAAAAACACTTAAGACAGCCATTTGTGATGTCCAATACATTTGACCAGAAAACGAAATCTTAAGATGTTCTCTAGGTAATATGATCACTGCAGGGTCAGTATCAATGCTTTGTCTGCATTTACAGAGAGCTGAGCCGGAAATTTCACCAGCGAAGGTAATCGAGGAGCCACATCTGGAGTGAACAGCTGACAAACCACTCAGCAGTCCAGCAGCTGTGTCTGCTCCCCTGGGTCAGGAGGCATTTAACACTGCGATTTAACACGAGAGAAGCTCTAGCTGAAGGCTAGGGACCTACCTAGACACACTGAAACAAAGGGTCAATGAACAGCAGCTCAACACCACCATCCCACTTTCTGCTCCGAGGAGAACAGGCTGGAGGGGCATGCTACAGCATCCCGACAAAAACACACACACGTGAAAAGAAGCTCCCAATTACTCTCTGAGTACTCATTTTTTTCACAGCATATCTGCATATCTCAAACCACTTGCAGCTGTGAAAGGGAATCGAAGCCCACGTGGAGAGAACACGGACTGCGTGACGGATACCACTTTCAGAAAAAGAGGAAAGGAACTCGGACAGGAGCGTGCCGGGGAGATGCGGGAACAGGCCGGGTGAAGGCGAGTGGAACAGCTCATCACTAATTCATCCCTTCTGCACACTTCCGCAAGCCACTCATCCCCAGCCGGGACCCCCGGCAGGTCAGGAATGTATCGGGCTTCCTTTTTTCAAACCCAGTTCAAATACAACACAATTCAGGGCCCTTCTTGATAGCTTCTGGATCGAAATGCAAGAGACACCCAGAACACGCAGTCAAGAGAAAGAGATCAGGTGTTCACTTTAAACAAACATTCTTATTGTGAAGGAACCGGTGAAGGTTTACTCCATGCTGAAAGGAAAAGAGACAAAACGTTTCGGCTGTGGAGCCTTCTTCAGGTAAATCCACGAATCCAGAGCCTTATTCCACAGCCGAAACATGTTGTCTCTTTTCTTGTCCCTCTGTAGCCTATGCATGCCGATGCAGCTACCTACTTGGAATTCTCATCGTCTTTCATGCTTGGTAGGCTATCCTGCCAGCTCTTAAAGGTCAGTGCAATAGTTTCTTATCCACCTCTCAGTCTAAGTTTTTAAAATTTTCACTGCTATGCATTCCATAATACACATCAAATACACAAAAATCTAAGCCGTGCACATCTGGTTTACGCGGATGTATCAGTAAGTGCACACTTCTGCCACCCAAATTCCTCCTAACGTTGCTTAAAGAGCCTGTTCTCTTGTCCGCAGGGCTGCGATGCTCTGGACACAGTGGCCGGTGTCCCGTTCAGCTCCAGCCTTACCTTGCTGCCTGTGGTGGTGTCTGCTTTCGACTCCGCTCCGAGCCGCTCGAAGACCGAAGTGCGAAGAAGACGTTTCTCTGTAGGGAGAGGAGGACACCGGGTCAGCGAAGGAGAGCATCGGCACTACTGCTCCCTCTAGCTTCCAAACACAGCCTTGCAGCCGAGGGATGGGTGACAACAGAACAGCTGGCTGACTCGCGTTCCTCTCAGGGACATCCACCTCTCGATTTACAAACACCTGGTTTGTCACATTTCTCTAGATGGGAGCATGCATTTTGATTTCTATTTTTCAGCTTCAAACAGAGAATTTTGCTGCATCAAAGTTGCATCCTATATAGACAGAAAGAAGACAGACACCATCCTGCCAAGACAGGCTCCCACAATACAGTTCTTCAGTGCACAAGTATTCTCAGAATTTTTACACATTTCATTGTAAATGAAATTCACATACTCAAAATCTAAATGCTGCTCTCTCCAATGAAACACCAGATCCACCCATTAGCACTATAAAAACATTAAATTAATCATAAAGAGGCAGAAACGTTTTAATTTCTACCTACCACCTTTCACAAAAAACCTTAATGTTATTTTAGCTTATACACAAAATTCCTTTTTGTGGCACATCGTTAATGTAGAAAAGACTTGCAGTAATTGTCTGCATCAGGCCCTGCAAGGTTAGAGCATCACATACTGACATGTTTCTGTCTGCTTCATTTGGTACCTGGTTTTGTGCTCCCACACTGTAAACATCGGAACAAAAAAGTTACACATGACAGGAGGCAAACGGGCACATCTTGCTCAAAAGCTTAATGACCCGCAATGCCGACTCCTTCGTCTGAAATAATTAACATCTTTAATCTATGAAATGCGCTCCAGACTCACACAACTCTCTGCATAAAGTCATGCTGTCCTACCTCTCTCCGCCTGCTCCTCCAGGATCTTCCTGGTGCGGGGCGTGGTACCCTTGGGCATGTTGATGATGTATTTCCCCTCCATCTCCGCGGTGACACGGCGCCTCTTCACGGCAACAGCTGGGCCTTCATCGGCCGGACGGGACAGCACTGCCGAAACACGCATTCCGAATCACTAAGCCGTCCGACACAGCTACAACTCGCACCCCCAGAAACCTTCGCCAGGAGCGCTGGGCTTCAGCGCGGGGGAGTGGAGTCGGCTCAGCCACTGTGCGGGAGCTTGAACCAGCTGCATGGATCTTTCACAGCCCTGCACCCCCGGTACAGAAACCCCCCCCCCGCGTTTCATGCAGACCTGAACTGTGTGCAACGCCCTGCTCAAAGCTGCAGGTTCCCCAGGAGAGCACACCCCTCGCACGGCGCTCTGCAGTGACCTAGGACTTCTCCGAGGGCATCCTGGGAAGGACCAGCAGCTCGACTGTACCTGCAGCACAGCCTGGAGAGAGCTGGCAGTGGGGGGGCGGGGGGCGGGGGGCACATTACCTGCTTTGGTGCTCTTCGCCGCCTGCTTGTTGGACACGGTGACAGACAGTTGGCGGTTGTCGGGCCGGCGCACGGGGGTGCCAGGGGGGGACTCGCGGCTCAGGCTGTTGGCGATCATGCGTGTGGCAGCTGCGGGGGGGGGAGCAGGCGAGAGAAGGTGAACAGAAGCCCAGAGGCAGAACGAGATTTTTCCCCAAAGATCAAAAGGGTTACTCCCCCGACACAACAGATGAGGTGACAATGTATGTGTAGTGCCATATTGCCATCATTGTCTGTGATTCAGAATGAGGCATTCTAAATATTTTCATGAAACTGACAAATACAAGACAACATGTTTTACTGAAGTTCAGTTTCCTGACTCGTACAAACTGGATGCAGTCACATGGTCGATCTTGCTAATTGGAAATAAAATATTTCTTTCTTGTTACAGCCTAATCATGGAATCATCCTGCAAAAAGTACTGGTATTGGCTCTCGAAACTTTACATTTGCCATGGAAAGATTTTGTTACAATTGTTAGTAATTTCAGAAATGCTGCTAGTAATTACTGGTAGTAACATTCTTGATGAAAACGTGCACTGGAAACGTAATAAGCATCGTTTCACCCCTAAAATTCATGTCATAGCATGTGTTAACAAATATATTAGATCCCTATGATGTAATAGCTTACCCTGTATTCTTTTTTTTCCCCCATTCCTAGTAGAGCCCTTTACATTGTGTTATCATCATAACGGCAGTGCTACTATACTGGAATGAATTTACTACAGCAAAGTAAAAACAAGGAAGCAAATTATCCACTCAGACACTCACTCCCCTGCTCCTATGGTTCACCAAATTCCCTCTTATTTTCCACAAGACACACGAGATCTTAGGGGACCATGGAATTCTGTAATGTTATTTCGGAGCACTTAGTCGCTTTAACCTGAGAACAGGTCTACACACAAGACACATCTTTCCTGAATGAAACTTCATAAAGAATAATCCAGGATGCACTACTACCAAAACAAATTAACCCTTTGTTAACCCAGCTGTGCCTTTGCTACAGAGGCCGCTGCAGGTCGGGTGAACTAGATGCATGAGGTGAAGATGCTTTGGAAGAGGGACCTGCATTTACTGTGCTCAACACTGAACAGGCTAATTTGATGTGAAAGTGGAAAAAATGGTCACTAAAAATTTTGCGCGAATAAGCAGAAAGGGGAATACTGAACTCGCCCATATCAAGGTGTTACTGTGCTGATGACAATTTAGCATCAATAAAGAAAAACCCACAGCAAGGCAGGAAGGCTAACTTCTTGCTGAAAGAAATATGCTGACCGTGCTGAGAAATAAATACGAAAGAAATATGCTGATCTGGTACAGCCGAGCTCAGACGTTCTCAGGCAGTACTGCATGCCATAGGCTATACTCACGGGTGTTGGCTGTTCTCCGCAGCTCAGCCTGGACACTCGTCTGGCCCGACGATATTGCTTCAGTGGCCAATTTGCACATATCCTGTGAGAAAGGCAAAGGAGACATTAGTCAACTCATTTTGTATGCTTGGCTTCCAGATGTTAATTGCTGCCAGGGTCATATCAAGCTACAGTAACCGTTGAAAACAAGAAGATAATCCATTTCATAATAACATCTTGTATCACACACACCCTACTCTTTGTGTAAAGAACTTTTCTAATCATAATTCACATTTGTGCCTCTGGGTTCTTGCCTCACCAGAGATCCTGAAATAGACTTTATAGATATATAGCATCTTTTTCACGTACCACAACCTCACACAAAAATAATGCGCACACACACACATTGTCTTAACTGATGATGATGATGTCTGCAGAGAAAAAACAGTACGAGCAAGTGGTGAGCTTCACATGTTCTGGAATCAATTTTGTGGGGTTGGGGAAAAAAATTAAATAATTACTTCAAGTAGGTAGCTGTGACAGCATGCATTGGCAGCAAAGGAAAAAGTCAAGGTTTATTCTACGCTGATAAGAGAAGAAAAGAAACAATGTTTAGGTTGTGGAGCCTCCTTCAGGCGTCAACCCCTAAGAACGCTCCACAGCCAAAATGCTGTTTCTTTTGTTCTCTTTTCAGCATGGAATGAACCTTTACTTGTTCCTTT